GAAATTCTCCAGACGTCCATATTTGGTCAGATATATCTAAAAGTGTCATCAGACATGGTTCAGGTAAGTGTTTCAGTAGCTGGAAATGTATATTATCATCACCCGCTGCAGTGTCATGAGCTTGCTCAAGAGCAGTATGTAGCTCATGTAATGAAAACACTTCGTTATAATCTTCACCGTCATTTGATTTGAAATTAAGTTTTGTCTTTTCCTGTTGTTTCTGATATCTCTGAAACTCAGGGACATAATTTGCCGATGATGACTTTTTAGCAAGAGTTTCGCCAATATTATTTGCAATTTTACACTTGTCAGTAATTAAATTATCACCATCTTTAAGATGGTGAACAGCAGATTTTGAACCTTTGCCTTTAATTCTTTGTTCCATACCTTAGACATTGGCGTGCGTGAATTTACTTTTGAGACATAATTTCTCCAAGATTGTCTTTTGTTTTGTTTAAAGGTACGACGTGCCTTTGCATTGAGTATTTTAAATTTATTCAAGTTATGGACAGTTGGATGATGGTGGAAATAACGCTCTGCCTTTTTCCTCGCTTTTCTGGCTTGTCTACAATCTGTATTAAACCATGGTTTTCGTACATGTGGAGTCGTAGAGAACTTTGGTATACACTCATCAGCTATTTCATTTAAAGCGTCAGCAAAAGTTTGAATGGGATCAGTTATATCACTGAAACATTCAAACGATTTACATATAGTTTGATATCAGGTCAGCCTAGCGGTTAAAGCGTTGGCTCGTCACGCCGAATTTACATATGTGTTAAGCCCAGTTTGATATGGAATAGCTAAAACGGCGTAAAAGTTAGTCAGTCAGTTCGTTAGCCTTCGAAAAGTTCGATCTGTATACGATGGAGAATCAGATGGAGTTATTTCTGAAAGGATAGTTGGGAAGTGGTCACTTCCACAAAGGTCATTATGAACAGACCAATCAAATTCATTCAGGAGGTTAGAATCTGCTAGAGACAAATCCAGAGAAGAATAAGTGCCAGTTGCAGGATGCAGATAGGTGCTTGAATCATCATTAAATATGCACAGGTCATTATTTGAAATGAAATCTTCAATTATTTTGCCTTTAGTATTAGTGTTAGTACTGCCCCAGAGTGGGTTGTGGCCGTTTAGGTCACCCATAATAACACATGGCTTTGGGAGTTGATCATAGAGTGATTGAAGATCAGTCAGCTGAAGGTTCGATGAAGGCGGAATATACAGAGAGCATAACGTAAATGCTACACCCAGAGTAAGTCGCACTGCAACAGCTTGGAGATTAGTGTTAAGTGTAACAGGGCTGTGAATAACATCCTGTCGTATAAGGATAGTAGAACCTCCAGTGGCTCTATCACCTGGAGGGGAAAAATAATGATATATTTCAAACTGACGTAAGATAAAATTATCTGTCTGTTTCAGATACGTCTCTTGCAGACAGAACGCTGATGGTGTTAAATCCTGGATTAATAGCTGTATTTCATTAAAATTTGTCCGGAGTCCTCTACAGTTCCACTGCACGATATTGTTGGATAGACCTATCTTTTAGGCGGATTAATTGGGGATCTACCCGGCACCGTTTTCGAGGGCGACAAGCTATGTGCCCTAGAATGGACGTTTTCGGACACGTCCATGTCCTCAAGTGATCCGTATTTGTTATATAATTTGACTTTATCATCGGAACCTTTTGGAGCTCTGCCACTTTGTTTTTTCAAAGAATCTTGCTTCGGATTGCCTTTGCTTTTGACGATTGGTTGAACGTTACTGGTAGACTGAGACATTTGAGACGCCTGAGAAGATGTATCACGATCATAAGTTGCTTCTGAGTGGGTTTGGGGCGTGCAAGGAAGTGGTTCCACAGTTTGTGTAGACATACATGATTCCGAAGTATGTGTAGAACGCACGGGTGTGACAACTTCTGGCTTGTTCGTATTGACCCAAGTCAAATCTGTTTGGCAGGTTACCGACGATGTGGATACTTGCGATGTATTTACCTTTGGCCTGATTTCAGAGGGTGTCTTAGCGACAGATGCATATGTATCATTTGGCAATGTAGATTCAAACAGATTTTTTGCATCAGCAAAGCTAATGTTTTGTGTGAATTTAATTCTGATAATGTCCATTTGTTTTTTCCACATTTTCCCGTATTTTGAAAAAGAAGAATTGCTACCTGAACAGTTTGTGCACTTCTTAAAGTCACTGTCACAGTCTCCCGTGACATGAGACGTCTCGCTACAATGACCACATGTTATTGGCTTTGTGCAAGTGTTTGCGCCATGACCATATTTTTGGCATATATAACACCTTAACGGATTTGGAATATAGATATCTACTGCAATATTACAATATCCTGCCTTTATTGACTGCGGGGCATTCGGGTTTGAGAATGAAAACAGATAGGTGTTAGTTGGAATAGTCTGTAGTCAGACAGATTACGCAGAGTTACCTCCCTTCCCTTGTAGGGAATCTCTAGTCAACGAAGGTTGACTAGTTGTTCTTGTCTGGTGCTAAATTTTAATGAGTTGAATAACATCTGTTATCTCAGTTATTACTGTATGCAAATGGGCCTAATTCTGTATGTTTATGTATGGCGGTACGTAGCATTGGATTGGGAACATATAGGCATTTAGTTAAAACAATAAAGATATTGTTGTTTTAATTTTCAATTGTAATCTGTCAATGACGTAAGTTTACCAAAACTCATTGTTGTTGCGGGTAGTGAACCTTTTGACATAAGTAACTCCTTGGTCCTTCATTTCCGACACAATATCTAGTTTCGTCATGTCAGTCAACAAGCGTTCCCTGTCTCTGATATGCCTTTGCTGGTATTCAGTGTTCTATGTGCAGACACTGAGACAAGGACGCCCACAAATGATTCAATTGACATTAGGTTTGATGCTTGTTGCCTTTTGCTACATTCAATTAGCAATGCACCTGAACGTAAACGTTTAATGTTTTTGACGCAATGCCATGTATACCCTTTGATACAGCAAATAGGTTTAATTTCAGGGGCGTTTTATCAGGACTTTCCAGCACCAGGAAACGTGGCCAGTAATCAATAGACTTCGAAGGTCGTTCATCGTCGTTGTCTAGTGGGCGTTTGGGTTTTTTTAGGGGGTTTGGTACTCCATGGTTGTTTATATAATGGTTCATCATCCGAGCTCCCCACCCGCCACAGAGTGTCATAAAGACAGTGATAATAACAAGTGGATCTCCGACTTGCAGCACCAGGGATACCCGGATGATATACTCCAGCAGAAAAATTAAAGAATTAATGAATCTACCAGATTGACCCATGAGCCACCGCCTTCTGGGTATATGACTCAAGGCAATGTAATTTAATGAAGATGCACTGGAAATTCAAGTGATAGAAATTTGGCCAAGACTTTTATCAAAACAAGTTAAAAAGTTGAAGTATTTTGTGAAATACAATAATACTCAGGGCTTGGCATGACCAGCCGATTGGTTGAACCGGGCCCATTCAACCACCCGTCTAGGTGAAGTAAGGGGCGAAGTGGTGTGTTGGGCAAAGGAACGCTGTTCCTGGAACCAGTGCCCTCAACCACCAGACTCCCGTCCTCCACCGACACAGGGGCGCAACCCACGGCCAACAGGTTGGTGGACCAAATATACCCCCGGATCCACAACGGGGGGTCGAAGCGCGCTTAGCGTTACCCAGCACCCACCACGAGGAGGTTGCTCTTCACGGGTGCCTCAATTGGCTAGACCTCGTAGCAGTAGTAGTAGTAGCAGTAGTAGTAGTAGTAGTAGTAGTAGTTGTAGTAGTGAGCGAGTGAATGAGTTTGGTTTTACGCCGCACTCAGCAATATTCCAGCTATATGGCGGAGGTCTGTAAATAATCGAGTCTGGACCAGACAATCCAGTGATCAACAGCATGAGCTTCGATCTGCGCAATTGGGAATCGATGACATGTGTCAACCAAATAAGCGTTAGTCACCTCTCTTTTTATGGAACCAATATAGCATGGCCATATGTTAGTGGGTGTGAATGGGCAGTGCCTGGCCCTGTCTCGACTGTGTAACCGATATGGCGAGGCAGGGGTATTGATGGATGATACTTCAAGCAACAAAGGGGGCGGTGGGGTAGCCTAGTGGTTAAGGCGTTCGCCCGTCCTCATACAGCACGTACTGTCATGGATTTGCCACAGAGGAACAACGTTGTGCTTCATTGGCCCTGCAGGTCACCTGACATGTCACCAATTGAACGCTTGTGGGACTATTTTGATCGTCAGATTCGTGCTAGAGCCGCTGTTCCTGGAAACCGACGTCACCTTGTCCAATCCCAACAAGAGGAATAGCGAAGAATCCCTGCCTGAGGTATACGGCGTCTGACGTTGTTAGCACGTCGTAGAGTTAGGGATTGCTTTGGATATACCAGATACTGACCACGTGTGTTGTTTTGTTAACATCTGTGATACTGGACACTTCATTCTTTCATTTATACAGTGACTCAATGGACGAGCTATTGTTGCTACTCCAATAAAATGACTGAGTGCATGTTGCCTATACACCTGTTATTTAAATTCACTGTCCTTTTTCACAATGGTGGTTTGTCGTTTTGGAATATCAGTGATTTTGACTCGGTGTCGTTTCTTTTGCCTGTTAGTATATTCATTACATTATCATTTACAAACAGAAAATGTCATAGCACCAAATTCAAAAACAAGCAATTCGTCATTCGCATTACATAGTTACAATTTATGAGACAATGAGATGCCCGCTTAGGCGGGAAAACAGATGTTTTAGATTTGTCGCTTCATAATGTGAATCCCTTGCATTAAATAACTGATAACTGAATATAGAACAACGACACATGTTTGTAGCAGGTCTGCGTATACGTGTTCCAAAATGTATGGCGTCGTCATTTGCTTAACAACGGCAATCGTATATTGTCCTAGAATATGGAAAGTAAATATGGATGATGATGGCATAATTGGTTCAGTTGTTGAAGGCGCCCCAGTATGGTTAATAAAAACACTTGGGAAAAAACACTCATTGATTTATTTCAATATCACATATTTGGCAATAACCGACAGAAACAATAAACGTCTCATGTTAATAATGTGTTCTTCCAACATATGGAAATATCACAGGTTCGCTTTGTAGATGCTATGTGGCTTATCATACAGTGACTATAAATATACTGTGAATGACTGTATCTTGAATCGAGTAACACTGACTATAATCCCACTACGCGAACTATATGGAAACATTAACCGTTACTAACATTTACTCACATTCGTAAAGGAAGTGTATAAACAGTCAGTTGGTTTCTCAGGTCGTTTCTGGGTACAATATGTGAAGCCCATTTCTGGTGTCCCCCGCCGTGATATTGCTGGAATATTGCTAAAAGCGGCGTAAACTCCAACTCACTCACTCACTCAGATCGTTTCAGTAGGTATTTTACGTTTCCTACACTATCTGGTCAATAGCCAATGGTAATTTGCCATTTAGTCAAACAGTCATGAACGTGTACCGCAAAGTCTGGTCTCATCTATCATTCACTGCACGCCAACACAACCAGGGTTCCTCTACAAGCATATTTACAGAGTATTTTCTAAAAGCCCAAGTCGGGCAGCGTCTGATATACGCCTGGTGGTGTGATCGATGCACTGTGGAGAGTATACACACACTATTTTCTAACAGGTTTTTCTGCTCTGATTACGATTTCATTGAGTTCAAAATTTATATGAGGGGAAATGTCAGATTACCTCATGTCGTTCACGTGTATCACCTTCGTGAAACCCATGAGTACTCTAAGGAAGATAGTCATGTCGAATCTGATATTCCAACCTTCATTCAGCGGATCCTGCCACGAATGAAGGACGCAAGTCTGCACATCAGCTCGTGTTGTTATCTCTTTAAGTACGATTATGCTACAAAAAATATTTCAAAATTCTAAGCTGTCAAACAGACGATTAAGGATAATACGCCAGTGACAAATCCATTTTCCGTTTCTGAGAAACAGGATACCAGACTCTAAAGAAACGTATAATACTTAATGGATAAACTTGTCGATAGACTCTTGTCGATCTGCTCCTTCTAGACTCGTTGTCTACTGATGCGTGTCAAAACACACACATGAACCTGTCACTAATTGTGTCGTTCCCGACATGCATATGTAAGAAAATGATCTCTCAGTCAAAGGTGATATACCTTTCACACGCGTTTTCCATTCATTTAGGGATGTCACCGTCTATCTTGCCTTAATCATGAGCTTGCGAATTTTCTTTCTCACTGGCGATAAAACTATAACACGACTGTATTACAATATAGCTCCATTGTCTAACCGTACACATTCTCAATCATGAATTTGTTCTCCAGTTTTCTTGCAATGTCCACCTTGTGCATCTTCCTGAGAGTTTTTATTAACTGCCCTACGTCTCCCTGTCTGTTGAACCAGCGCCATTTCTCCAGACTTTGTCGTGCCTGCTCCTCAGTGGTTCTGTCACGTTTGGCGGCAATCAGGTCCATGATCTCCACGTCACGCTGTCGTCTGCTCCCGTCACGTGACGGTATGAAGGGCAGACGATCGTACAACCGCTTCCAGTCATCTCCGATTGAATGCGCCACATACTGACAGGCATCTTGAAGTTTATCTGGCAACATGTATATAAGTTGATGGTGAAAGACAACAGTCATCTTTTCTAGTAAAGTATTAAACGTTTCATTGTGGTCGAGCCAAACGTTTCTTTGTGATAGAGCCAAAAGTTTCTTTGTGATCGAGCTAAACGTTATGTTTGAAGCGTTTAGTAAAGTTTATGCTGCCTAATATATACCCACTTTACAATGTAATTGTCAGTATACAGAAATGTTACAGTACTTTAAGGGATCTTTCACGCGTCTGGGTCCCGGTCTACAAAGCGTTCGTTGCGCTACGACATTCGTAAGTCTATGTTCAACTATACAGTTAAGATAGGTCGTAACGTTACGAATGCTTTGTGAATCGGGACCCAGATTATTAAGTTTGACAAGTATTCAGGGTCCCGATCACAAAGCATTCGTAACGTTACGACCTATCTTAACTCTATAGTTGAACATAGACTTACGAATGTCGTAACGCTACGAATGCTTTGTGAATCGGGACCCTGATCATAAGTTTGACAAATATTCAGGTTCCCGATCACAAAGCGTTCGTAACGTGACGACCATGTCGTAACTCTATAGTTTATCATTGGCTTACGAATGTCATAGCGCTACGAATGCTTTGTGGATCGAGACCCTAAATATCAGACCGTTACAAACTTAAAGATCATCGATCTACTGAAGTGTTAGCTAATGTGGCTTGAAATATCTCACAGCTCTCGCCCCCACCTGGTATCTATACTATACCTGCATGTATAAGAGACTTCTCACCTTCAACCAGAGGTTCGTTCCTCTTCTCCAAGTGACGTTTTCTCAGGTACGTAGGTAACAGCTTCATGTCTCTGATCTTCCTGATGACGTCAGTCTTTTGATCTATGCTGGCAATCCTCTCCTGAATTGAGCTGATTTCAATATCAATGTTATCCATATCCTTCCTGTAACAAAAAGAATTCCAGGGCTAATACTTTAAGGGATCTTTCACGCGTCTGGGTCCCGATCTACAAAGCGTTCGTAGCGCTACGACAGTCGTAAGTCTATGTTCAACTATAGAGTCACGATAGGTCGTAACGTTACGAATGCTTTGTGAATCGGGACCCTGATCATTAAGTCTGACAAGTATTCAGGGTCCCGATCACAAAGCGTTCGTAACTTACGACCCGTCGTAACTCTACAGTTTACCACAGGCTTACGAATGTCGTAGTGCTACGACCGTTTAGTGGATCGAGATCCAGGTTTCCCATCTCAAAGACTTTAGTTTTACATCCCTTTTATTTTCAAATCCTAATTCAAACATACCTCAAAGTTTAAATGGGCACCCATCATTACCTTTTGACAACATGCAACAGAAGTTCTCATCAACAACATGCAAGTCAGAAGATGACGACGTCTACTTAAGCTCATGAAGCCGGGTTCCAATGACCCTACTCATGGTCGAAAGAGATGGAACATTGGACGGGGAGCTCAGTTTGACTAATACAGTTGATTGCATGCCATCGTGACCAGGGATCATGGGTTGTTTCTAAGCGTGACACGCCCCTGTGGACCAGGCATCATGGGCTGTTTCTAAGCGTGACACGCCCCTGTGGACCAGGCATCATGGGCTGTTTCTAAGCGTGACACGCCCCTGTAGACCAGGCATCATGGTCTGTTTCGTATCTTGTCAAAGTCTGACCTTGTTAGGGATTCACTATCGTCTATGTCTGATACCTGGGAGGTGCAGGGATATAGATTCTTGAAAATCATGGCATTCGCGGTTTAACAAACATTTTGATAAAAATATTCCTCCTTACTGACTACAAACTGCACGCCATGAAACGGTGGCAAAGGGGAATGCTCTGTACCTCCCACGCACAGCCTCCATCGCCGAGAGGAAAGTCTGTGGTTCGATCCCTGACCTCGTCACACCAAAGCAGGTTAAAAGATGGTATTTTTTGTTACTCTGTCTGGCGCACGGCATTAAAGGGAAAAGAACAAGGACAGGTTGGCTCGCAGTCAGGACATCTCACTGGACTAGCACTAGTGCTCGCAACAGCGCACATATGTTGTTGTGTAAGGGCAAGATTCTTAGCGCGACGTTATACCCTATCTCACCTCACCTCGCCTTACCTCGCCTCACCTCGCCCTCACATCACATCAACTCAACTCACCTCACCTCACCTCACCTCACCTCACCTCACCTCGCCTCATCTCACATCACATCACATCACATCACATCACATCACCTCACCTCGCCTCGCCTCCATCTCACCTCACCTCACCTCGCCTCATCTCACATCACATCTCTCGCCTCGCCTCACCTCACCTCACCTCACCTCACCTCACCTCACCTCACCTCACCTCACCTCACCTCACCTCACCTCGACTCACCTCACATCACCTCACATCACCTCACCTCACCTCACATCACATCACATCACATCACATCACCTCACCTCACCTCACCTCACTTCACCTCACCTCGCCTCATCTCACATCACATCATATCACATCACCTCGCCTCGCCTCATCTCACCTCACCTCACCCCTCACCTCACCTCACCTCACATCACATCACATCCCTCGCCTCGCCCTCATCTCACCTCACCTCACCTCGCCTCGCCCACATCACATCACATCATCCTCACCTCACCTCACCTCACCTCACCCTCATCTCACCTCACCTCACCTCACCTCACCTTATGCAACCCCAAGCCCTACGTGAGTATTACTGCTTCATCTGTTAATGGTGTTAGCATGTTCAACTCACCTCAACTCGAACTGTTTGTGTCTCAGGGTAACAACCTCCACCTTTAACTCATATGTCCTGTCTGACACCTCTTTATGCTCTTTTTTCAGTCTACTTCTCTGGCGTTTCATTGGTCGTTCACGTTCATCGAAAAAGTTCAAGGTCATGTTGACATTTGTCAATCTGTCGGTCAATGTCACTTTTCTCACGAGGAGAGTTTTTGCCCGCGTTTTTCCTTTCTGCTCTTCCAGTTTTTCACTACTCGCTGCCCTTTCTTTACCAAGTCTCTCGATCTTTAACTCAACTGTCTCCAGCCGTCGTTTTGTCTTAATTTTCTCCTGTTTATAAATGTTATACTCTTTTCCAATTTAACCCTGGACCGTTGCATTTTATCAATTTGCTGAGAATTGTGCGATTTCTTTGTCATGCAGAGTAGTAATGTCATTTTGCATCTTTTCCTTATAAGAATTATTAAACTGAATTTCTTGATTGAGTTTTTCAGGGTATGAAGCATCATCTTGCACCCACTTTTTCAGCATCTCAGAGATCTCACTGAACGTGGCGGTGATGTCCTCCATCAGCGTCCCATGTTCCTGGCCCTCAAACACGAACTTGTAAAACGGACTCTTCAGTTCTCCATACCGCAATATGCTGTGGTTGACAGCGTTCAACTTCTCATCAATCTCCACCTTGTGCGACGCTATAGCCGCCTCATAGTCTTTTATAGGTGTGACCTCATGGGGCCTTGAATCTTCCTGGAAGCTGAGGCAGTACTTGTACATATGGTCATTCACACAGGAAACGAGCTTATTGCGCATGACCGGAACCATTAGCTCGAAATCTCTAGCACGGTGACATAAATGGAGTAGGGTTTTAAACTGTTGACTCCTCTTGGTTTTCTTGTCAATGGTCTTTGTGTTGGTGATGTCTACAAACTCCTTCCACGTTGAGAGAGAATCCTTGTCCATCTCCCATTCCTCGAGTAATTTGTCCATGCATTCTGAGCATGCGTGATAGTCGACGGACTTTCCCTCAAAGTGCTCTCTGTTGAACTTCCGTATACCATAGTTCACTTCATGTATAATGTCGTTGATCCTGCGATGTTCCGCCTGCCGGGATGGAGGTGTCTTGATGTCCCGCTTCCGTTGTCGACCTCGTGGGGGCATGCTAGTTCCGGCTCCGAGTGGGCGTGTCACTAAGGTTGCATCTCAATGGGACCTGGAATTAAGAAAAGCGGATATAAATATTGCAGGGCGCATATGTTTTATAGAAATACATTTCCCCTGTAAATATATTACGATCGAGTCCCGATATTCGTGCTTGTCAAAACTCCTTTATGTAACACGATCGATCTTTCGCCGCTCAACAGCTCTTCGGGCCATAGACCTCGCATAACCGTAGTATCTATGTCGTCATCATACGTATGACGTCACAGTTAGCGACAATAGAAGGAGACGTAAACGTAGTCATAGGTGACAGAAACATTATGTTTGTGACGTCATCATGTCTTTGACATCATAGTAACAACAATGTTTGACGTAAATACAGTATTGTTTCAGTGCACAAATACATACTGAGCTCCACTGGGAAGTTACAAAATTATACTCATTGAATTAAGCTTCGGTTTTAAAAAAAAATGCATTTTCTCCCAAAACTGTTGTTATAAATAACGTCATTATAAAGTTACGCCACAGTTTGCTTATAGCAGAGATTTCTTATGGGTGCGGAAAGGGTTTTGTCGCTTCTATCTACTATCTTTAACTATAATCACTTCCTGAAGATAAAGTTGAAACGCTTGGGAATTCGTGCTGCGTGATTATTTTGTAGATTTCTTACATATGAAAAGACATAACTTTATATATGGTATACATTATATATAAATGTGAAACTTAGATACATGAGGTGAGCTAGTTCAGTTGGGAAAGTGCTCGCTCGTCCCACCAGAGATTCAGGTTTGATTTCCCACATGGGTACACTGTGTGGAGATCATTTCTGTGTGTTGGCTTTACTGTATTATTGCTGAAGGAGACATAGCATAATAGGCACTTACCCACTTACCAACTCACTATCCCCTTATAATGGTTTCTGAGATCAAGTAAGTTATATGCACCCAGCAGATACCCGTAACAGCAACAAAGACACAAGGGTCCCGTTTCAAAAAGCGATCGTACCGCTAAGATGATCTAGACTTACGACAGTCGTAGCGCTACGATCGCTTTGTGAAACGGGGCCAAGGCCAGAAGTCAGCATAGGTGTACCCAGGATTGAGAATTGAAAAATACCCTCATGTATGTCAGCCGTTTATCTTGTTGGTTCCAATTTCTAAATGGACATAATCATTCCTCGGTTCTTATGATAACAGAAAATGTTGTTCATAAAGACAGACGTTTTATATAGTTTATGCTGAAACACATGGAGAGGCAAAAACAACATAGAGTGCCGATACACATCGAAAGGTAGGAAACAACATAGAGCGCCAAAACACATCGAAAGGCAGGAAACAACATAGTGTGCCGAAACACATCGAGATGCAGGAAACAACATAGAGCGCCGAAACACATCGAGAGGCAGGAAACAACATAGAGCGTCGATACACATCGAGAGGCAGGAAATAACGTAGAGCGTCGAAACACTTCGCCAGGCAGGAAACAATATAGAGTGCCGAAACACTTCGCCAGGCAGGAAACAACATAGTGTGCCAAAACACATCGAGAGGTAGGAAACAACATAGTGTGCCAAAACACATCGAGAGGTAGGAAACAACATAGTGTGCCAAAAAACACATCGATCGAAAGGCAGGTAACAACATAGAGTGCCAAAACACATCGAAAGGCAGGAAACAACATAGAGTGCCAAAATACATCGAAAGGCAGGAAACAGCATAGAGCGCCAAAACACATCGAAAGGCAGGAAACAACATAGAGTGCCGAAACACATCGAAAGGCAGGAAACAACATAGAGTACCGAAACACATCGAGAGGCAGGAAACACACATCGAAAGGCAGGAAACAACATAGAGTGCAAAATACATCGAAAGGCAGGAAACAAATCAGGGGCAAAACGACATAGAGCGTCGATACACATCGAGAGGCAGGAAATAACGTAGAGCGTCGAAACACTTCGCCAGGCAGGAAACAATATAGAGTGCCGAAACACTTCGCCAGGCAGGAAAACAACATATCTGTGCCAAAACACATCGAGAGGTAGGAAACAACATAGAGTGCCAAAACACATCGAAAGGCAGGAAACAACATAGAGTGCCAAAACACATCGAGAGGCAGGTAACAACATAGAGTGCCAAAACACATCGAAAGGCAGGAAACAACATAGAGTGCCGAAACACATCGAAAAGCAGGAAACAGCATAGAGGGTCAAAATACATCGAAAGGCAGGAAACAGCATAGAGTGCCAAAATACATCGAAAGGCAGGAAACAACATAGAGTGCCGAAACACATCGAGAGGCAGGAAACAACATAGAGTACCGGAAACACATCGAGAGGCAGGTAACAACATAGAGTGCCAAAACACATCGAAAGGCAGGAAACAGCATAGAGTGCCAAAATACATCGAAAGGCAGGAAACAGCATAGAGTGCCAAAACACATCGAGAGGCAGGAAACAACATAGAGTGCCAAAACACATCGAAAGGCAGGAAACAACATAGTGTGCCAAAACACATCGAAAGGCAGGAAACAACATAGAGTGCCAAAACACATCGAAAAGCAGGAAGCAACATTGAGTGCCAAAACACATCGAGAGGCAGGATACAAAAGTAGCTGCACCGAGACAAACAGTCGTACAATCTCCCTTTAAAAACACATTTGTAAGCAACGCCTTTGAAGGAAAATAGATTAACATCAATGCACTTCTGTTTAATGCATATGCATAAGACCTTGAAGAGTGCAGAGGCCTAGTGACATAATGAGGGACATGGATTCATAAAACCGCAAGGAAAGAAATAGTTTCGTCAAGCATTCCATTAAACACATTAAGTTGAAACATTTTACGCAATGGCATTCTTGAGAAAGACATTAAAACCAATATGCAGAGGACTTCTATGGAGTGCCGAGATCACGTGACTCAAACAAAAACGTGCTGGTCGCCTGCTAACAGGTGATACGTATCTGCGACAGGTCCACTTCAAACAGTCTAGCGTACCTAAGTCTGTGGGGGACTACACGCTTACTGGGTGAGATAACGGGGTCAGATGTCAGCTTTGGCATGTCAGTTAATATCTGTGTCGCTATGATTGATTGACACGCGGAGATTGGCCAGATCGATATTGTCACGACACATGTGCCGTTGTTAATGCAATTTCTGAAATCTAAGAGAAGGGGTCACATGTAGAGGTTAACACTATAATGTTTATAGAAATGGGGACATCTGTTAATCAAATATTAACTCATTACACACATTATAAAAAATAAAATGTCCACCCCAAAGCATGTTGGGTCTCGATTACCTGCCAAAACAGGTTTCTTTGGACATGACAGATGAATAAGTGACGACAATTACATGAACATATCGCTGAAAATAAGTGATGGCAACCGGTGTTCACGAGGCATGTCCTGTTCTACACATACAATATGTATATATTTAATTGTCTGTTTATTGCCTAAGGCGGCACCCAACATCTGCCTACCGACGACAGCTTGTGCACAATCGAGTCTGGGTCAGACATTAAATAGTGGAGTTGTATAAAATAACAGCAAACCCATTGAAGTTGTGGACGAGAGAACGAGCGTCAGGAATAGTTAATCTCAAAATTGAAATCTTGAAATCAAACTGTACATTGGGGAAAGTTTAATATATAATTGCCTTCCTCAAATAGTGATCGTTTCATATTAGGTCAGGGGCGGTGGGGTAGCCTTGTGGTGAAAGCGTTCGCTCGTCACGCCAATGACCAGATTCGATTCCTCACATGAGTGCCATGTGTGAAGCCCATATTTATTGTCCCCCGCCGAGGTATTGCTGGAATATTGCTGAAGGCGGCGTAAAACCATACTCACTCACTCATTTTAGGGGGTAACTAGGATATTTATTTGAGTATGTTTTATCCCCGAAAGGAAGGTACCAAACAAATATATTTGGACTCAAAACGTACAGTCAAACAACTGAAAAGCAACTTCAATGAGCTCGTCTTCCGCTATGGGAAATAAATTAGGTCACAGGAAATCCCAACAGAAGAGTTAAGCCACTTCGGGTTATTATCTGAAAGTGCTGATGTCTTTGTGAGCCCCAACATACACCGTTCTCCACTTAGATATCACTGTCACCCAACAGTCGGGCCATGCCATTAGTTAACACGAAATTACCAACCATACAGTTCTATATGATATAACTCTGTTATCTTCGATCATAATTCAAATACATTCAGGAATCGCCAGCAGAAAATATAATGCCTACAAGGTGGTCAGTGACAGAGGGTGACCTGTGAACACATCAATAGAAACACCTTGTCCAAAGATGTGGAGATACTCAACTGATGCATATGTGTCCATCCAACTGTATCCCGATGCATAGGAAAATAGAAGTCATGACAAGGCATTCAAATCACAAAACACATTTCCATCTGTAAAGTTATTAGTCCTTTTTAGTCTCACAACTGACAACGAATAGCGTTGACTGTTCCACAACATTAAAATACCTTTCATCAAATGCTAGGCGCCGCCCAGGGGTTTGCAAAGGTAATCCACAGACTTGTGTTTCCATGCAGGCGTTCAGTGAGACTTAGTATCCAACCTGTCCGGGCTGAAGAGAACCTACAGTAAAGCGCACACCATCCAACGGTACTGGTTAAGTGGAACGCATATCTCATGCCGACCACCCATCACACAGCACAGAGTACATCCTGCATTTCCCATGCAATGCGGAAGATCAAGCCTAGAGAAAAGTAGACCGCTGTGTTTTGTTCACCGGTGCGGTATCAATTACCACGTCACGGCAGCGACAGCACAACGGTTGACAGCTTAGCTGCTGCCTGTCAATGTCACGCTACGCTGTGTTCTCCAATGAACTACAGTTACCTCGTAATCTCTCGTACAGAGAGTGGGTGGAGACTAACGCTTGTGCTATTTATATGTAATTTTGATAGAAACAAATAATCCCATCTATATTGAAAAGGAGCCCGTATGAGATGGCAAATGCTGAACCTGAGGAAATCTAGACTTGCTTTCTTTATGTTTTAACATTGCATGGAGGGCTAGGCTGTAAGGAAAAAATAATGTGGTTCAGGGACAGACTAAATGTGGATGTGGATCTTTATAAGGAAGAAACCGCTTGAGTTTCGGGAGGGGAATGAATGGGTTCTAAAAGCTACTAAAACATCAAGCCATATTTTACTGAAATAAACACTAATGCCAAAAAGTGTAAGAAGATGGCTGTTTCTTACATACCTGTGTCAAAATGTAACAGT